GCCAAACATGCCCACCATTCATATATTTTTCTTGTTATCTGCTTAAAAGTCTAAAAGCTTTTGTATTAGGTGACTTTTATTATTAAAAATTAATCTCGAAGCTACTTCTTTAGGTACCTTACCGGAAGTTTTTTTTTAAATTTTTATGGATACTAAAGAAAGATAATCAATTGTACAACACCTAGATTATATGTATGGAGAAACACTGGTTTTCTAGAATTGAATAGCATTATTGATCTGACTTTCATTTGGAGCGAAATGTTGTGGCCAGGATCTTCGTAGGTCGTTGTATATATATATATATATATGTCGGTTGACCTCGTCGCAACTTGGTCTTGTTGTCAGGACGACTTAGTAGAACGCACCTAGTCCCAAGTCATCTGCCATAATAATTGTCATTATTCCCAGCATCAGACAGTGAATTTGGTACATTATCAAACGTTTTGCCGGCATCATCAATGAGCTTTGCCATTCTCCGCATTAAGCTACGAACTCGTCAAAGAGACAAGTTAAGTCAATCCCTCGACAAACGTTGTGCCCAAAACGGTTACACTATCACTCCTCTTTTTGTCCTGTCCTATCTATCTACTCTTTACCCTCTTATCCCACTGTTGCCCTACCCCTGACTGCCAGGCCCCCAAAGTTGTACTGGTTTATTCGAAACGGACATCACACACTGACGACGTTTTCGCTTTGTTGCCGAAAAACTCTGCTCTCCCCCCTTTTTTTCCTCCGGTTAGCGTAAGATCCCTGGTCCAGGCGTCTGTTTTTGCTGGACTTGCTCTATTCTTGTTTTTCCCGAGTTTGATTAGGCAGTAGGGCTAACCGGAGGAAAATGGATCGCGATGACGAAAGTGGGGGGCAGGGGTTTTCGGCAATAAAGTGAGGACGTCGTCAGTGCGTGATGTATGTTTTGAATAATCTAATACAACTTTGGGGGCCTGTCCGTCAGGGCTAGGGTGGCAGTGGGATAAGAGGGCAAGAAATTCGGCGTTATGGCCCAAATGTACTAAAAATCTACTTGAGAGGCCGCATACGACCAGAGATAGGCGTACACAGCTTGCTCAGATAACATGGGTTTAATCAAGGAGAGGACCCGTGAAGGGGTGACCTGATATCTGCAATCATGGGAACCAGAGCTTAGGCGGTTTACTCAGTGAAGCGGCAGTGTACATGCTTCTAGGGCCTTGAGAAATAGAACCTGGAGTGAAATGCACACTGGGACTGGAACCTAATGAAATTGATCAACCAGAAAGATAAGGAACGGATCTACGAGACAATGAGGGGATCCGGATTGGAGGCCCGAGTCGGATTAGCAGATCGAAAGAGATGTGTCGGGGTAAATAGAAAGTGTGATGAGGCTACACTAGATTTGCCG